GCAGCGTCTTCTCCGACATCATGTCCTCCTGAAATGAACACACCACCGAAACGAAGAATGTAAACTTCTGCCATGAAACATAGCAGTCGATACATGTCCTTGTCCGAATCCACTGCTTGCTGCAGCTTTGCCCGGGCATTCATCAGCTTCTTGGCCGACTGCTCTAAGTCCTTTGTCAAGGCCTCCTTGAGGTTGGCGCTCCTGCAGAAACTTTCGCAACTCGTGAACAGATAACCAGCATCATAAAATTTCAAACTACTCAATACTGCGATCTCAGGGCAGGACAGCTTCAGCAGATCCTCGGAATCCTTCCTGCGGTTCAAAGCTTTGATCTTGGTGCTCAGCGTGTTCAGCACCTGGGCTTGTTTCAAAACAAATTTCTTCATAGTTGACATGCAGCACAGCATAGATTTCGAGACGAAAACCCAACCTTCTTGGCTTCCAATGCGATCTTTCGTGCTGCCTCCTTTTCCTCGTCCTCGTCATCTTTGTTCTTTCTCTTGCACTTAGTCTTGCCCTTGGCCTTCCTTTTGTTCTTTCCCTTGTCCTTCTTGCTTTTTTTTTTTTGGATTTCTTGTCCTTCTTGGACTTTTTGCTGTTCCTCTTCGCCTTCTTCTTCTTAGGCCCAGAGTCCTATAACGGTTTCCAACTGAAGGCTACTTGAGTTGCGACATTGTAACATTAAGCCAAATTCAGTCCTCGGACGACGACGAGGACTCCGACTCTGAGCTTTCATCTGAGCTGGAAGCTGAGTCGTCTTCCCCTTGGAACAAATCATCGATTTCCACAGACTCAGCAGCCATCTCCTCGTCATCGACGAGGACAAGGTACTGCATCAAGCCTTCCCACAAGTAGGCAACAAAACACAGGATCCTAGAACGATTGCAAAACAAATGCATTGCATGCTATTCGTCCCAGCCTGGGCATTCCGGGTGGTCGCGACACTCCTCCTTCAGAAGCTCGGGGTCGGACTCCTTCCTGACGATGATCGAGTTCACGAGGGCTTGGTCGTTGTCGAAGTACTGCAGCATCTGCCGGCGGGTCACCCACTTTCTGCTTGCTTTTTTTCCACTGCTTTTCTTGGAACGTATCGACTTCATAATCACACTGTTCTTCCAATTTCCTCCGGTTGCAACGAAATCCTCGTAGAGCGTGCTCATGTAAGATTTGCCTAGGCCCAGAACAGCGAAGGCTGCAATTCATACCAAGCTTGAGGGCATACAAAAAACTAATCAAGACAGCATGAACCACATATATGCATAGCTGAGTCCAAAGCAGTACTTGAACCTGTCGAATGTCTTCTTGATGTCCTTTGGGGTCTCTCGGCCTTAGTATATTCGTAGAGTAACAAACACATAAATCATAATTCGAGTACATGCACAACAACAGCACAAGTCTTATCGTTAGTCGTGTCTCAGGCAGCAGCTTTGAATCGACCTCCAAAACCTCATGTAAAGCTTGTGTGCAACCTTCTTCTTGCTTTTCATCAGCTCGGCTTTCTTGGGGTCCACAGGGTCTTTTGGGCTTTCGCCTGTTTCTGTACTGGGGGACTTCTGCGGGCTGGGGGTCTTCTTCGGGCTGGTGGTCTTCTTTGGGCTGCTGGCCTTCTTTGGGCTCGCCTTGCGGGGCTTGGTCCTTCGATCGGGGCTCTGTGGAGGAGCTGCTTCGTGAGAGCTGCGGGCTGTGGCATGGTGCTTTCTGCTAGTGCTGTTGGCCTCACTTGCTGAGTCCTGCTCGTCTTCGGTTGTTTTTGCTTTGGCTTTTGCTTTAAGTTTTGCTGCTGCTTTTGCTTTCGCCTTGGCTGCAAGTTTCGCTGCAGCTTTAGCTTTTGCCTTAGCTTTCGGGGACTTTCCTTTTGCCGCTTTCGTGGCGCTCTCAGTCTCCGTGGCTTTCAAAGCTTCGACCTCTGCTGCCTGTCGCGACCGCTGTTCTTCTAACTCTTCTTCGAGCTCCTTCTGCCTCTGCAGAGCTTCGGCTTTCCGAACACTTGTACTTGTGCCATCAACAGTCTGTGCCCGCTTCAACACAGACGGTGCCGTCGGCTTCTCTCCACTGAGGTCCTCAGCTGAAAGCTTCCGGTTGGCTCGTTGGGGCGGGGTCTCAGTCAAGGGAACCTCAGTCTCTGCAAAGGAAAGGCGGCGATTAACGGGCTTTGTCTTGCTGGCTTGCCAAGCTGTCTTGCCTGTTCCAGTTGGCGTGTTGCTGCCGTTGTGTTTTGATGCTTTGCTCGAGGTGCTTGTTGTCTCAGTGGGGCTCGTGGCTGTTGGCTTGGAATCCTTTGAGGCATCTTTGG